TAAACAGTTCCAGAGGATGGGAGAGACTCTAGAGAAGTCCTGGAGGCGAGTATGGAAGGAGTTGACAAGGGAGCTGGAAAGCAGGAGGTCTTGGGATGAGTGGAGTGGACGGTTAGGGTGATAGTTTGAGACAAGGTTTGAGATATATCCGGGGGCAGAGTTGTGGATGGCTTTAAAAGTGATTGTTAATAATTGAATTTTATTCTTTGGGCGAGTGGAAGCCAGTGGAGGGATTGACAGAGGGGGGTTGCAGACACTGAGCGGTTGGTTAGGTGAATGAGTCTAGCAGCTGCATTCATGATGGACTGAAGGAGGGATAGCCTGGGTAGAGGTAGGCCAATGAGGAGGGTCTTGCAATAGTCAAGACCAGAGATAACAAGGGAGTGGATTAGTAATTTAGCAGTTTCATTGGTGAGATCGGGTGAGTCAACCGGAGGGGGTTGTAGATACGTTTAACATGCGTTTGGATACTCATCAACAAGTTATTGATGATTATATGATTCAAATCCAGGAGCTAGTGTACCGGCTTGATGACATGGAGAACAGGAGCTGTATAAATAATATACGCATCCGAAGTGTCCCAGGGTCTATTGGCACATCAGCTATTTTGCAAACGATTAAGGCCCTGTTCAATAACCTTCTGGATAGACCCCTAGATGCACATCAAATGATTGACAGAGCTCACAGGTCGCTGGGCCCCTTAAATGACTATCCTGCTAGAGTAAGGGATATAATATGCTGAGTACACTTTTTGGTAGAGAAGGAAGCTATTTTAGCAGCTGCTAGGTCTAAAGCACCTGTAAAGCATGACGGCTACACAGTGTCCCTTTTCCCAGGCCTGTCAAACCAAACTCTGTAGTTTCGGAAAGCTCTTCAACCGCTATAAGAAGTGCTAAGAGAGCATGGAGTGAGATATTGATGGGGACACTCATTTCAGATGGTGGCCCAGAAAGACGGAAAATCCGCTGTATTCAGACATTTGGAGGATCTCCCTCATTTTCTAGCCATTCTTGATTTGCCAACAATCTCACTTCTAGACTGGCCTATAAAGCAGGCTCCTTTAAATAAAACTCAAGGAGTTAAATTGGCAACTATTAGATCCAGGCGCTCTCGCAAATTTCGCCCAACCAATGAAATGAATGCTTGATATATGGACTTGTGACCTGGGTCGTATGTTTACAGAACATGCGTTTAATATGGTAGATGTGATGTAAGCTGGGACTTAAGCATTTCTCTTTAAGAGTCCTTTTATGAGTTATTTTGGTCAGTTGATATATATAGGACTTACTATTTGGCTGGGCTCTGTATAGCTGGACGGATGCTGGTTAGGTATTGGATTCCTCTGCTGAGATGCTTAGAAGCCTCTTGAGCAGTTTTACCACTATCTTGTATATAAAGTATGCTGAGGTCCGCACTTAAGAGGGTGGTAGATGTTTCTGACATGTATATGGAGTAGATGAAATAGAATGAATAACTTCTTGCACTTAAAAGAGAACGATGGGGTAAACTTTTAATCCAATAGTTCTCTTTAGGGTCACGGGAGGACATCTACTAACCTCCTCCGGTGACCCAAAGCTCAGTATATAGCGGGCTATTGCTGAGGCTGGGTTCACACCTAGGCGTATCGAATATGTGCGTTTGTCGAGGGCTACCTGGCTGTATCCCAATGGATACGCGCGACAAAAACGCCCCGAAGAAGCTCCTGTACTTCTTTGGGCGTAGGGCGTTTTGTAGCGCGTTCATACGGCCTGTAATACGCCCAGGTGTGAACCATACCCATAGGAAATAATGGGATTTCGGTGTTTGAGCATTTTGCAGAGCATAGGAACGTACTACAAAACGCCCATGTGTGAACCGGGCCCATTTGATAACCGCTCTGCCTTTCTAGAGGCTCAGCCAGCTATGCCTGCCCCCTCCCCCGTCCGTTCCTCCAGTCAGCACTGAAGGGTCGGAGAGAAAGGAGGGGGGAATCCCTGCGGGGAGCAGTGACTGACAGTCACCACTCTCTGCAGGGAGATGAACAAGAAGTGAGCGAGCAACACTCACTCACATCCCGATCTATAGAGTCGACGTGTGACAGTTTCAATGTCACAAGTTGGCTGCAACTATGAGGATGAGTGTAAATCACTCACCTCATAGTTCTCCTTTAATGAACACATTTTCTCTCTTTCCCTGGGCCTTCTTTTTTTCCTTCCTACTAGGTAACCAGGGGACTTTGAACTGTCATTACACACTGAGAAGGTCGGGAGGACCGTCATCACATAGGGAGGTGTGCAGCTGATGGGTGTCTTGCAATGAGCAGGCTGAGGCTCTAACTCTAAGGTGGGACACGATACTGGTGCTGAGCCAAATCTTGGATGTTGCGAGAAGATACACCCTGTTTATGTTTGTTTGCTGAAAAGAAGCTATTTAAGTTGTACTGTTTGGAAAAAAATAAAGTTTTATTCGCTGATACGGTTGGCTAAGGATCCTTCAATACCCTAAACGTTACAATATATATATGTTATGACAATGTAGAAGCTATGTGGGGCCTATCTATGCTCTATTGATGGTATTAGTTGCAAAGATTGTTCAATCTAGAAGATGTCATAAGATTATGTTCAATTTATGTGTTCTGTATATTTTTTTCTTCAAACTAAAACTTATTGAATAAAAAAAAAGCTTATGAATTCAGGTTTTCTTCATCGGTATTAGGCATGTTATGTGATTTTTAGCTCTAAAACATGCTAAGTACTGTAATGACTTTCACAATAATACAACTCTTTGGAATTAAATACAAAATCTTTTATATGAGAAAAGTGCAAATGTGTTTTTTTTGTGTGTTTTACTGACACATTAATAGAAGGGTCTGAAGATGTTACAAATAATTCTGTCTTGCAGCTGATACAATCTTGTAACTAATAGACTGGCTGAGATTACCCATCATTTACAAGAAGGTGCCATCTGCTGAGCAAAAGTGTAATAAGCAAGCAATTTCAATTATATGTGAAATCTTTTTCTTTCTTTATTGATTTTCTCTGTCGTTTTCCTAAAGCCCCGAAGCAATCCACACTAGTTTGGCAAGTGAACAGAACAGCCGTGTCTCCAGTGACCCCAATATCAATTTTGCTTTTTATTTTACCCTCTCTTAAGGCTATGGGCCTAATAGACTACGTCAAGCAAGAGAAGGAAAACTACTATATACATCCAAGGCAACTGACTAGAAATGGCAGGCTTCTCGTGAGAGCCTAATATAATATTTTCAAAATTGACCTATGCACTTTAAACCAGGGATGGGCATCCTTCAGCACCGCAGCACTTAATCAGCTATCGAACACTTCCCATGGTGCACAAGTTAGGCACTGGGAGGATGTAGAACAACTATTGGCAGAAAACTTTTTAGATACAAAAAGAAAAGCTGTTATGGATTTTCTTTACTATGTATATTGGCTTGTTAGTTTAAAAAGTGTCTTTTTTATTTTTTATTTGGTTATCATATTTACGTTTTTACCATATTTTGCATAATGACATTTCATATCTATTAATAACAACTCTGTCTAATGTCAGATAGCACAAGCATGATTCCTGGAGAATGACGGCTGTAACGAATTACATTTTGTTTTGCTTTTAATTGCAGGAAGAAATTCTGCTACATTATGTCCATCAAAAACATAGAAATACAAACACAGACCAAAACTGTGGGCAAACAAATTAAAGACAAATTGCCACTTGCTTATTCAGATTGATAGTGCGCCCTGACACCATTTCCCCTACAAGGTATACTTATCCATCCACCCTCCCTTCACATCTACCCACTGCAGAAGTCCACCCTGAGTGAGTTCCAGTGTCGGATGATGCAAGAGTTTACCCAGGCGGATGTTATCACTAATCCCTCTAAATGACAGTTTTTCGAGTCTGGCCACATGGGAGAGATATCATGCTCACCATACAAAGAAGCCCTTCTCTGTTCGAGCAAGAAAGCAACAATAGACTGCAGAAGGGTAAGTATACCTTGCTGGGGGAGGTCCATTAGCAGGCATTGTCATGAATAAAGTTACAGTGTTTAATTGAGACAATACAAACTTTACATAGAATCATCCATCACATGTATATCCTCATTTATTTGTAACAATATGGGTCTGATTTATATAGGGTTCATCCAGCATATAGCTGGGTGAACTTCGTTTGCACGACATCACTACTACTAGAAATTCTCCTTAAATATCAAATTAAACTTGAAATCTTTTTGCTATAATCATTTCATTAAAGAGGAGGACCACAACTGGGAATATCTGGGTCCTAAACTCCATGGGCAGTTCTCTCAGTCTAGACTCTAGAGCATTTGTCATTTTTATAAGAAAATAAAATGTTATTCTTACCATAAAATCCTTTTCTCGGAGTCCATTGAGCGACACACCTCTAAAGAATTCTGAAATGTAGGTTATGCTGCTGCCTCCAGGAGAATTGGAAACTAGGCAAAAAAAAATAAAAGCCTGCCATTTTAAGGATATAACCCCCTCACACCCTCTTCAACAAAGAAGAAACATTTCCTTAGAATGAACAGTAGCTGGACAAAGTGAAGGTAAAACATGTAAATGAAAGGCTGAAACCACCTTGGGTAAAATGGAAACCTGCTGTCTCAAAATAACCATGTTCTTTTGCAGAACCAAATAAGCTTCTCAACAAGGCAAAGAAAACAACTCGGAAACTCTTCTAGCCAAGGTAATGGCCACAAGAAAAGAACCTTTTTGGACAACAATGATAAAGAAATATCATGAACAGGTTCAAAAGAAGGTTTTTATAAAACAGGCAAAACCAGTTTCAAGTGCCACAAAGGAAGAGGAGACCTAACAGGAGGAACTACACGTAACTCCCTGAATAGGAGTACGAAGTATGGGAAGAAGCAACTTCCCCATTGTCAACAACATTGACAGAGACATCCTGCCTGGGGCATTCAGTCTGATCATCTTGTCCAGTGATGGAGGAGACTTGCTGCAAGTCCCATGCTGTAAGAATGTTACTCCGTAAAGTTCTTAAATGGAACTGAGCAAATGGTACCACTTTGAAGGTGGACAAGATCGAACCCAAAACTCTCATGCAGGTTTTCAAAGAGTATCGATGACGAGAACGAAGCAAACAAACTGGATCCTGCAACTTCCATCAATTTGTCCTGAGGAAGGAACACCTTCACCTGAAAGGTATTCAACGGAACACCCAAATACTGCATGCAATGTGACGGAACAAAGGACGAATTCTCAATGTTCAGAATCCACCCAAAATTGTCCGAAGTGTCCACAGCACCATTAAAACTCCAGAGACAGAAGAGACTGTTATTGAAGTAAAAGGCTGTCTAAGTGTCCAATAATTGGGATAACCTTGCAATGAAAGAGCCCTAGAACTGGAGCAAGGAATTTTCTGAAAACCCTTGTAGCCAAAGCTAGACCAAAGTGAAGAGCAACAAATTGATAATGAAGGTTGCCTACAGTGCAAAGAAAACACTGATGAACTGGAAAAATAAGATAGTGTAGATACGCATCCTTTACGTTGATGGAAATATAATCCAAATAATCCCCTTGTCGAAGAGAAGCGACAATTGGCCAAATGGATTGCATTTCTGAATACAATAAAATTGTGCGTTGCTTTTATATCCAAAATTGGATGAGGACCTCCACTGTGTTTGAGAATCGAATAAAAATGTTTAAAACATTCTACCAAAGGAACGGGAACAATAACGCCCTGATCCAACAGACCTTGAACTGCACAAAAAAGGTTTGTTCGATGCTGATAATACATTAGTCATCATGCAAAGAATTGAGGAGGAGGATGAAACTCTATTTTGTAGCCAGTGGTAACCACTTCCCAAACCCAAGCATCTGCAATTTGAGCTTCCCACATCTCTGCAAAAAACATAAGACGACATCCCCACACCTGAGATGGAAAAGACGAGGGCTGACCTTCATGCTAAAGCTGACTTTTCTGAAGGCTTCGAGATTTTTAAATGCCAAGAACATCTAGAGGATCCAAAAGGCTTAGAATCATAAGATGTCTTCTGAAACTGATAATGGAAACCCTGTTTGGAAGAATGAAAGGAACATTTAAAAGATGGAAAAGGAGCAGATTTACAACAGTGATCCTTAAATTTCCACATCTGAGGTAAGTGCTCACTTTTACCTCCCGTAGCCTTTTTAACAATATGATCCAAGCTTCAAAAAGTCTATTTACCACGTAGGGCAAAAGCAAAAGTACTTTCTTCCATTGGGGTTAGCATTTAAGCCAGATAGCTCTGAATATCTGAACAGAAGTAATAGATACACAAAACAGACGACAAGCATCAAGAACTGCATCACACTTGAAATGAAAGGCAACAGTTATTTGATCAACACAATCAATAAAATGCAGATCAACTCCAGCAGTTGCCTGATCCAAACTCCAGGTTTTGTCCAAGTGGCCAAGTCTGAAAAATAAGAACCGTAGCCAATTATGGTTGAAAAGCAGAGCAAGTTAACAAAGAAATGGTACAAGAGAGATTCTCCAATTTTTTTTTATCCATAGGATCATTAAATGTAGCAGCATCAACTGGTATATCCATCAACTTGTTAAATTGAGAAATTGGAGGATCAACTTCAGACCATCTTTTTATAAAATATTCCAGAAAATAATATAAAGACTTAACAGGTCTAGGAAACAAAAATTGGTTATCTGGATTTTCCCAATTGTTATAGAGAAATCTATGAAAGATAAGATGGACAGGAAAAACCTTACAGACGCATTCATATATATATAAAAATGTTCTCCAAAAAAATGAATTGTGTTCACAATAATCTGACATACAGCTAAGGAACACTTGATATAGAATACACTAAGGGCCCAATCACACTGTCATGCTACGGTTACCCAGTTCTGAATAGCACCCCAATGCATGTGCGTTTCCTTGTAATGGTACAGCAGCCAATATATCATCCAGGGTCTTATACCCTGAGAAATATGTCTGTGCCCATCCTTTATACAGACCATACATCTATAGGGGAAGCTCATATTGCATTGTGAAAACCCATCAGCTATAAGATGCTGGGCACAGATAGATCCTAAATGTTTTACTTCCTTCACATATGTCTAAATGCCAGAGGCTTGGGGACTTCATGAACATTTTTTTTTCACAGAAAGGATTATTGCTTTACTGAAATTGCACTGGGGGTTAGGTTATGTGCCCAGATGGAAAAGGTGTTTTTATGTGTTTTTACGCCTGAAGAACCTCTGGTATATGGTGTGTTACTACACTAAAACTCATATATATTTTTTTTTTTACAATATCAGTTTAGTGCAGAAAATTCAAATTTTGTTCCTGTGGACTGGTTAGCAACTTTCTAGAATAATTAAAGGTCTACTTTCTAATAAGGATTTGTTAAAGCTCCCAGTATTTACTAATACAGATCTATAATATTACTGTAGAAAGAATAGGACAATGCGCTAAAATACCCTAAAAATGTACATGTCATATATAATTATCTAACTTGTGATGACCAATGATTTATGGCAATCAGTATGTCGCTTGTCATTGATTTAGTAAAGGATATTCCAGAACCTTCTTTGGATATCGAAAATGCCAAAAAAGTTATCTGTCTCTTTACCTGTGTATCATTTAACTGTTGTTCCAATTTCCTATTTTGGTACTCCAACTGCTCTCTGGTCCTTTGGAACGTCTCATCAGATTGTGCCTTCTTCCGGCAAATACTGTTAAGCTCCTAGGGAAAACAAATGCATAAAAGAATCCTTAATGGCTATTGTACATGTCTACAATACAGTGTACACATAACTTGTTACAATGTTGTTAGGCTGTACAAATGAAAACTAATTAAAAAAAATAAAAATACATGTTATTATACTAACCATTACCACTCTGTTGAATAAAACTTCTTGCAGAGTTACAGGCGCCACTATGTTCGTCAGCATCTAACACTTAGAGGGTTATTCACAAAGCTGCCGTAGGCAGCCGTGTGAATAACCGACCCGAAGTGTAGTTCGGCTATTCACTTCAGGCTTGTACGGCTGGTTTCAGCCGTAACCCGACTAAAATCAGCCGTACATCGGCTTGCTGCGGCTGGCTTCGAAGTGCAGAAGGAGTTTGACTCAGCCGATCCAATATCTGGATCGGCTGAGCCGAACCTCCGGCAGGCTACTCGCTGCTGTTAGGCCTATTCTCATAGATGCCGAACAGCAGTGAGTGAATAGCCAAATGTGCTTGGCTATTCTGCTCGGTACCTCTGTGGTACCGAGCAGAATAGAAAACCAGTTAAAAAAGTAGACGCACCTCCTAGCTGCAATGTGTAATACTAGAACACTGTGCGTTGCGACTGAAAAAAGTAGTGCATCCGCTGCAGCCAGGTGGTGTGTTTGGGGTGCCATTCAAATGAATGGCAATGAAACACATCTGCTGCACTGTAAAATGAACGCAGATTGGCAGTTGGTTCGTGTGTGGACCACGGGATAGACTGCCACAGACCAAGGGCCGAATATGGCCCACTGGCTGTAGAATGCCCAGGTCTGGTCTTACCTGTTCTGCGTGTGACACTCGTGCATAAACTTTTATTCAAACAAGCTCAGCAAAAAAAGCACAAGACACATTCAATCAGTTATACATATCATCGTTTTTACTGCAGGAAACCGTCTGTGATGATTAAAGCAAAAACTATAAAAACAATACATCTTTTTAAATATATATGGTAAAGCAGTTCTTTGGACTAGTGGCCTGAAGAAGCCAGGCTATAGGAATATGACAGTGGTAAGATAGCTCCTTTATTAGCTCACATTTGATTCAGGGGTGCTGCTGACAAAATATTGTAATATTAAGCATGTTAAAAATGTGGTCATGGAAGTAAAAAGTTAAACACTAAATATTTCACCTCCTATTATCTTGATTATCACTATCTGTATGGCTATCTTTAATATTTGCTAATTTGAAAACAAAGTAGAAATAAGACTCATGGTTGAAGACAGAGATCTATTCCTCGCTCCCCACCCCTTAACTCTACAAGACTAATGATGTGATCTTTGTCACTTTTTACTTCTATATTTTTCCAGGGGAAGGGCGTACCACATTACTCACTGACACCACCACTATTTCCAGGCTACAAACTAAAACTAAATTGCATCCACTAATGCTTTATATTTGTCTGATTACATGACTGTAGAATAGAAATAACTTGCTTGCACCATACTTGGCACAAACAGATCTCAGACAAAAGGGTTAAAAAAAAAATAGTAAAACAAATGGGCAGACTTGATTGATCATTTCGTCTTTTTCTGAAGTCACTCTTATCACTCACAGTGAGTACCCTTCTGACCGCCATCTCTTGCTCAGCTGTTTGAAGGAGCAGGTTGGAAAATTCTTGTTCGAAAGGAGCTTGCAGCCAATCAGTTACAAGCCCTGTTGGGGTATTCTGACAGCAGCCTCTGCCAGAATACGATAGAAACAGCAGGGGATTCATCAATCAATGCTTATAAGCATTGATGGAGGAATCTGTTATATTTTGTTTATTTATCCAAATGTATGTGTGTATACCCTACTTTACAAGGTTTCAAAAGCGGTGAAATTGAACTAAGACAAAATTGCAGATGATTTACTACAGATCTGAGAACCCGCATTTCAATTTACTTCAGTCACTTAGTCATTTTGGATAGTTTTGTGCCTGAAATATTAGATCCTTCAGCACACTGCAAGATACTATACTAATTCTCATAGGAAACACTGTGCTATGTCAGCAGATGGGAAGCTCTCTGCCCTGTCTCGCCACCCTGTCACATATTATATACATCTGCACTAAAATATGACAAATCCATGGAACAGTGTTAGAGAAACACTGTAAAAATTACTCAACACAAAATTAAATTGTCAGATGAGGCCACAAAATATATTTCTGGTGTCAACCTTAAACTGATTAGAGGTTTCAAATTAACATAGGGAACTCAACTTCAAGTGTGACAAGTTTAAAGTTTAACTTTTAACTAAGGTACACACAATCAATATGACAGATCTGCACCAAATTTAAGTTAGTTTTACAGATTACATTAAGAGTCAGGTTAGAGTTGGTGTTAGCGTCAAGGGTTTGGAAGGTAAAGTAAGGGTTAAGGTGTTAACCACTTACATTCTCCAACGTTTATGCCCCTTATGGACCAGAGCAATTTTACAGAGCATAGGAAATAAAAATTTATTTCTAGGGATGCACCGATACCTTTTTTTGGTATTGAGTACCAATATTTTTATTTTTTTTGGTACTCGCCAATACTGAATACCGATACCGGCATCCCAAGGTACCGTGAGCCCGTCTTATCAGGTCATGAGCCACCGTCTGGCTTCCCAGATTGCCTGGGAAGCTGGTGTTCTATCGACAGAACACCAGCTTCACGACATTGCAAGGCAGCCTGCCTTCCTGACCAATCATGAAGCCGGGGGGTGGCAGGACATGACCTGCCCAGCTTCCTGAAAAGAAAATATACTAATAGCCGTTTATAAATACACCCCTAAGTGTTAGGATGCAGGTTGAGTTTTTGGGGCTATGTTACTATTAGAGCTTGGGTGTGTCAGATGCAGAAAACAAAACATATTGCCATATGATGCGGCAGCCAATTACCCATACACACTGCCTAGCCAAAAAAAGGTCAACACATTTAAGGCAGTGTTATAGGCAGTATCTGGGTTTTCTTCAGCTGGTCAGGTCTAGGTTCAGCAACGTTATGTGCCCCAAAAAATGAGGTCAGCTGCCTACCTGTATATACTGAATGACCAGGTTTTTCCTTTATTTGATTTTTTCTTCCCTGATGCAGCCTGACAAAGCTAAGAAGCCTTCGTGCAAATAGCAGCATTGTCAACCTGTCATGTGAGCTCCTTCTTTTTGCTGCCTATCTGACAGACCTGATAGGCAGTCCAACGGTCAACTGAGAGAGTGCAGTGACTTAGTGTTGTCAGTCTGCCACTGGCAGAATCTCCAGGTAAGGAAATTGGAAACAGATTCAAAAGAAAATGATAGTAAGGTTTCAACAGAGGTAACTATTGTAAGCACCCAAGTTGTAGTTTGTCACAGCCCCTATCACTCCTGCTGGACAGTTTAGTCTACGTGTTAGGCACCTTTCGGACGGGCAGTCCGATCAGGTTTGTTTGTCAGCTTTTCAGGTGGACCTGATCGGATGCTCACTGTAATTCTATGGGCACCTGCATCTAAACAGACAGCTTCCATTTACATCAGGATGCCCACGGCTCCAACCAAGTCCAAAAAAAACCCCAACGGAACAGTGCTGCACTTGATCGTGCCAGATTGGAAGTAATCTGATGTAAACAGACATGTCTGTTCACATCTGATTCACCATAGACCGACATGAGGTCCAGTCATTTTAGTTTCTTACTCCTCGCAAGTTGGAGGAAAAAACTGGATGGACACAGATGTCGCAGAGGTGATACCCAATCTATATCACTCCAATCAGGAGGGGATCTGTGCACGGATCTCTCCTGACCAGACAGTGTGAAAGGGGGGCTTAATGTGAGAAAAGGTATAAATAAAGACAGGGGCAGTAAAAAATAAAATAATGGACACATTATTAACCACATACAGTTATCCGAATACAATATTTTTTGTCATAGTGTTACTTTATTACAACTGCTTTACTTAGAAAATAGTTAATGCAAACAAGAAATATATATGCAAAATCAAGGGGTAAAACAGAACTGAGCAAATTTCATTTGATTTTTAATATTCAATTTTGGAAATTAATGGAGTTTTCCAAACGAAAACCACTTTTACTGTTTCATTCATGAAAATATTTTTTTCCATCATGCTCCTTTTTTCTTTATCAGTATGATCAGAGTCAATTGTTGATTTGACCCCAATAACTGTTAGAAAATTGACTGAACATTTTGAAAAAAATTTTTTAAACAAAATACTACTGGTGTATGTCCAGCTTAACATAATATCTGTGATGGGCAAATGATACAACCTGAATAAGGATATGACCTGGGACTCTTTTCTCACCACGCATGTGATCTGACCTGCTTTTTTTTACTTATTAACCTTACTGGGTTCACGTTGCTCATTGCTAGACTGAAGATTATTAACATAAACAAACGCAGAATGTAGACAGATTTTTTATTACCCATCTACAGTGTTTTTGTATTAATACCCTTCAGTCAGCAGTGAGCACTGTGGACCTCATTTTTTAGATTTCTTTGTATGCGTATGGACTGGGCAAGGTCTGGCACCCGCAAAAGACTCCTGTGAGCATAGACAAGTGGGCCCCTGATCCCTTGTCGCAGTAGGAATTTTATTCTTTTATAACGCGGCACAAGAGTGAACTCCCTTACCAGTTCATGTCACAGAGAAGAATGTTTTTTTTTATAAAAAAGTAAACATTTTAAAACAGCCGGTGTATTTGGTGGTATGTAAACCAATGGAAAAGATTGCACCTGTGGATTGGGCAGATTGTCATCAGGGTTAATTTTCAATAGTCTGCTCATCTCTGCCACTTAGTCTGAAATTGTATGTACAACATAGCATATTACTTGTCTTATGCACTATTGCAATCCACCTCTTATATGCAGTAGCTTAATCTGACATAATGTGACAGGCAGTTGACACAGTGTCATTAATCCTGTAGCTTGTCTTTTGAGTTTTCTTATTCAAGTGCATAGTTTTGAACCTTTTTTCACTGAACTGCAATTTCCACACTTTTGTCCATTCTGCCACATCAGCAAATTCACTACCCATTTGTTAACTCCATACTTACTTCAGGCCTTGAATGTCAACTTAAAAGCCGTTTCTCCTGTCATCCACCCAAATGAGTCCTTCCATACTATGTAATTCATTCATCAATTAAAATATATACCTTCTAAGATATTCTACTGACACTATTCTTTCTTACCTAAAAAATGCTGCAGCATCAAATCATTCAAATACAATGATGCAGAACACCTATGTACTGTATATATATATGTGACTATTGCAGTATATACATTTTTTCTAAATAATTACATTTTACAAACAGAAAAAAATTCATAAAAGAAGAAGAAAATACAAACAAATGAAAAAAATAAGAAATCTATCATATACAGTCATGGCCAACAAAATTGGCATCCCTGCATTTGTCAGATAATGCACCACTTTGCACAGAAAATTGTTGCAGTTACAAATGTTTATGCATTCTCGTGTTTATTTCTTTTGTTTGTATTGGAATGACACAAGAAAGTGGAGTAAAAAAAGCCAAATCTGGCACATTCCACGCAAAACTCCAAAAATGGACTGGCCAAAATTAATGGCACCCTCAATTAATATTTGGTAGCACAATCCTTGGAAAAAATAACTGAAATCAATCGCTTCCTGTAACCATCAATGAGTTTCTAACACCTCTCTACAGGAATTTTAGACCATTTTTCTTTCACCAACTGCTCCAGGTCTCTCAAAATGGGATGGTTCCTTTTATTGTAGCTCAAATGATATGGAGTGAATGAGCTATTAATCCCAGAAAAGCTGTGTTGGTAAGCACAAACTCAAGCTCCTGAGTCTGAGAATACCCTAAATCCTTAAATAAATAGCATGTGTGCCCTCCCCCCCCTTTCCTTTCCCCATGTGAATAACATGCAAATTACATAAGCAGGCATACAATAAAGGAAAAATCCTCTCCTGCACAAAATGGCATATTCACTATGGACACTACTGTAGAAAATACCATATAGGTAGCCTCAGTACTTAGGAAAGGAACTTCAACCTAGCATAAGCCTACTAGGAACTCACAACAGTAAGTTGCAGAGAAAGGGACAGAAAAACTGCCTCAGCTCTGGACCGATAACTCAATAGTAAATACCTAAACTGGCCCGACCTGAATAGTGAAGTCTAGCAAACTGGAGTACAGGCAGGTGGTCACTGCCAACCGCAGGACTGTTGCATAAAGAATACCAGCACAGAAAATGAACTTGGAATCTGAGCTGTTTGGCTAACTGGAGTACTTTCCATGATTTCCACATCTGGCCTGAATCTACAAGCAGCTATACATAACTGGAGAAACTTCCAGATAGTCAGAGCTGTCGCAGTGAGGACACCAGTATAAACTGTGAAAACTTGTGGTTGTTGACTGACTGGAGAAACTTTCAGGATTTAACATACTGTATCTAGCATTAAACTACCAGCGCCCTTTGGCTGACAGGATACACTTCCTGGATTTAACATATCCTGAATCAATATATTAGCACTGCAGAACTAATGATTGGTTCCTTGTGCTTATTCTCCCTCTCATAGTCTGAGCTCTGTTATACAGGGACTGCAAGAGGCTGATACTAAATCAAATTCAGGTACTTACACTGCTTGCAAAAAAATAAATTCAATGATGTAGTGATTCATGCTGAGCTGCGTGTTTTAACTGTGCTGCTAACTGTGTATCTGCCTGGAGATCAGCTTTTTGTAACCATAATGCAAGATCCACTAAAAACTGTAAACAAGAAAATAATATAATAGGAAGATGTCCACCCTTTGAGAATGATACCTCTGATTTCCTAGCATGAAATTCTGTTAACTTCCTGATTTCTGATTCCAGGTCGGCAACCGGCCATTCAATCTCTTCCACCATCCTCATTAATTCTTCTTTCATTTTCTTGTTTTCTTTCTCTCTCTGATGTCTATCAGCCATAAGCGCATTTATTCTTGCCTGAAAACAGTTTACAAATTAAAACGCAGAAAAAAAGATAAAATGAGCAGCAAAAACCTTGAAAGAGTAAGGTTAAAAAAGGGATAAAAAGGGATACATGTGCAAGGCTTACTCAGGAAGGCAACGCAAAGCTGCACTGATAAGCAACGTTGAATAACCTACAGCAGCCAGTATACTACATTCAGATCAGTGAAAGATGAATGCTGATTGGCTGCTGAGTTAGAGTACTTTTCACATTCCTCACTGCACCATTGAATAACGAAAGCTTAAAAAGGACTAGATGCCACAGATATTAGTAAATATATTTTAGTTTTCCTCAGTTTGTCAAACCCAGCTAAAGTGGTTTACCTGTGTATTCTGACTGACTCTGACTTCCTCGATAATTTGCTTCCTCAAGGAATCAGCCAAATTCTTCAAAAGCAAAAAAAAAAACAATATGAGAAAAAAGAAAAGTATTCACATTGTATTATAAAAGACAGCAACTTAAATTCAAGGAACATATCAAAATATGTTTTGGTGTTATAGGAGAATATATAGGTAAAATACAAAACAGTAAACTTGAAGTAAAACTTATTAACAGATATATGGAGGCTAGCATTACTGACCTCCTTGTGAAACCTCTAGCTAACTGGCTGTTATATTGACTCATTGGTCTACATACACAGATCAGCCATAAAATTATGACTACCGGCCTAACATTGAGTAGGTCCCCCTTTTGCATTTGCTTCCAGTCCTGACCCATTGAGGCATGCACTCCATTAGACCTCTGAAGGTAAGCTGTGGTATCTGGTACCAAGCTGTCAGTAGCAGATCCTTTAGGATCCTTTGCAAGTTGAGGACTCCATGGATCGGACTTGTTTTTCCAACACATCCCACAGATGCTCATTTGGATTGAGATCAGGAGAATTTGGAGGCCAAGTTAACATCTCAAACTCGTTGTTGTGTTCCTCAAACCATTCTTGAACCATTTTCACAATGTGGCAGGGCGCATTATCCTGTTGAAAGAGGCCACTGCCATCAGGGAATACAGTTTCCATGTAAGGGTGTACTTGGTAAGCAACAATGTTTAGGTAGGTGGTATGTGTCCAAGTAACATTCACATGAATGGCAGGATCCAAGGTTTCCCAGCAGAACAAAGCATGACACTGCCTCTGCCAGCTTGCCTTCTTCCCACACTGCATACTGGTGCACTGCCATCTTTTCCCCAGGAATCCTGATAACCAGCCACATGATGTAAAAGAAAACATGATTCATCAGACCAGGCCACCTTTTTCCATTGCTCTGTGGTCCAGTTCTGATGCTCACGTGCCCATTGTAGGCGCCTTTGTCGGTGGACTCTGGTCAGCATAGGCACCCTGACCAGTCTGCATTTCCATCCTTTTGATCATGAAGGCACAGCATCACATGTGGGTGTTACCTAGGGTGATCTGCATGCAAATGCAGTCTGCCTAAGGACTTCTACTCTTCAAGACTGACACCCACTGATCAAGATGGTATCTGCATTATTCCTCCAAAGTGCCATCCCACTCTTTGTACAAGGACCGAGGGCCCTTGAAAGCACTAAGGTGGGGTGCTGCAATGTTTTCAGGAAGTTATGTACAACATCCTGCTGGCCCCTCCCACCAGCCATGATCTGCCTGAATTGAAGATAAGCACAGAGACCCAGTGATGGCATTACTGGGTCTGAACAACGATATGTAATGAAAATATAATGGGTTTTTTTATACAAATGTTATTAGCATGTTGATGAGGGGGCAAGAAGGAGGAACCAAGAAAGGCACAATGAAAGCAGATTAAACTGCTGAATGCACAACTAACTAGCCTCACAAGTAGTGAACAGAATTCAATGTGACATCACAAACAATTTTAGTTTATCAACACATAGATGCACATTTTAAATTTGCAAATTTTAAAAAAATGCCAAAAAAGACGTTAATAAAATAAGTGATCAGTAATCACTATTTCTGCCAGTAGGTGTAAAAAAATAAGGGGTTCACAGAAATATTACATGCAGGCTGAACTATATACTGACAGGCTCTGCAGCTGTGAAGTAATTCTACAACTTAGAAGCTGTGCTACATCAGTTTAAATCAATCTGATTGTAGCGAGACTCGCTGCTGCCAAGTGTTAAGGGATACTGCCATCTTGTGATCATTTTCAATAACGGAAATCATTTTTCAAAAACAGCTTTTCCACCCCTAATGTTATTATGAATAAAGCACCTTTTATGAATCCATTACACTGCAGCTAACACAGAGATCTTTCTGCCTTGATAAAGGGCCATCAATTTTTCAGATATAGTCTACTATAATACATTGGAAGGACAGCCGTACTGGGAAAAGATTTCAGTAAAAAGTACCTTGAGACGTCTTTCTTCTCTCGTTGACTGGTCTTCCAGTTCTGCCAGTTTGGATTTGGATGCTGAGTGGGTGACAGACAGTTGAGAGAGTTCTTTAGAAACTTTGGTGGTCTGTTCTTCATTTTTCAGGTGGCTCTTCTGCATTCGTTTAATATCTGCCTCAACTTTACCTCTTGTCTTATAGCTAATTTAATAAAAGAAAAAGGAATGAAATAAATATACTTTAATCACTAAAACTACAATAAGCACACATGGACTGTATGTCTTCTAGAGAGAACGGTGCATTGCATATACCAACAACCAACCAAAATAAATCTGATTTCAGCTATCATTGTTCTACTGCAAATTAAAAAACTACAAATTAATCCCAAGCAGAGTGAAAACCAGCTGATATCCAAGCAAGATTGCCACTATGCTAATCTCAGTAAGTGCCCTCAAAAAATGTGAATTCCACATTGAAATAATTTTTCAATGATCCATTTATAAAAGGTTGAGACGGGCATTATAAGGACTGAAGCCACTTGCAAATCTTTCTGTATTGCTTCAGAATTGCACCCTACATACAAAGATTCCAAGTCTACAACAGATGAAGAATTTTGTTCTGAATAATTAGACTGATGTAAATAACTACAATTGCATATTGAGACATAATCCAACCTCTATGAGTCCAATCCAATTTGATATTTTGATATTTTTTTCAATTACATATTTATTTACCAGCTATATGAAAATAATTATTTCAGTTCAGCTATGGCGAAAATCTCTTTTGCAGATAAATTTTGGAAAACTCAGAATGCCAGATTACTAAAGTTAGAACAATTTGTGAACTATTTGTTCAGGTGCAAAGTTACTATTTGCACAAACAGTGAAACTAAAAAGTATAGAGGATGATTTGGAATACATAAACAATGCAAGCGAGAGGGGGAAAAAATGATGCCCCCACCATGTGTTACAACCCTGCATTTGTTGTATTTTAATGATTTATACTTTGGGAAAAAGTATAACATCGTCTAGGGTATGCATCTTCCCATGTGGCTTCAAGAAGCCTCTACAGTAGCCCTGCCATAAAAATGATGCTAGTTCTTATTGGAGGGTGTCATAGGTTACTACACACTGTGGCAGAACAGGCACCAAATACTGACTAGAAGGAGGCAATGGAAACCTTAATGGGGAGCATCATAACTATGAAATAATTAAATAAGCTATATGATGGAAATGGTGGAAAGGGTAGGTCATTTTGGGGAGGCATTAGGCTCAATTCACAAAGCCACACCAGGATAAGTATATTTATTTTCCAAAAAGTGACAGTTATTTATAGCTAAATCCAATAACAGTTAAAAATTACAGTCACATGGCTAAATTAGAGAACCTTATCCTTGTGTTAACATTTTTGTGAACTGAACCTGTGATCTCCTTATGATTCCACAAAATGCCAGCTGTGTCCTGAAGGTCAATAGTTGTACACATACAACTCTACAGGCTCTGCATAGTCCTATTGACCAAATTCAGCATACTTAGATGCATTAAAGTTGGACTTATTGAGGCTGAGTACACCAGCTCACAGATCAAACATGATAGCTCATATTGCCAGATTGTTGGTTATAGCTTGTATGAACCCGTTACAAAGTAGTGAATTAGTGAATTTAATGAACTTTATCATTACAAAATTTCTTAACCATTCATGAACTATTTCTCTGGAAAAAGAGGCTTGACCACATAGGAGTGAATTAACAAAGCTGTTCACAATTGTCGCAAGTTGCGTGCATCACAATAGCAGGGCAAATAGACTTGTTTCAGTTCTATCTGCACTACACGCACTAGTTTCTATTTCAAAGAGATAAAATAGAAACCAAAGCAGGTTACGGGCCTAATTACTAGGGTGCACCAATACCGTTTTTTTGGTATCGAGTACAAGCACCGATATTTATCTTTCGGTACTCGCCGATACAGAGTACCGATACCGGTATCACCTCTACCATGAAGCCGGCTTCCCATGCCAACCAGGAAGCCAAGCGGTGGGTCATTACCCACCACCTGGCTTCTTGATTGTCCGGGAAGTCGGCTCAATGCTGTTTGGCCGACTCGATGCTGATTGGCTGGACAGCCATCTTCCCAGCCAATCAGCATTGAGCCGGCCAAACAGCATGCAGCCAGCATCCCAGCCGATCAAAAAGCTGAGAAAACGTAGCAGATCCCTCCTAATTATTAAAGGGGTGTGTGCCCTTTTGTTTATCAGGAGCAGGATCTGCTCTGTTTTCTCAGTTTAGTAGAGTGGTACAGGTTTTATGCCTGCACTGCTCATTTCCCCCATAACCCATACTGCATAGTCTACACATAAAACTTGTTTTTCCCTTTACGGTAAGCACAGGCTGTATGCTAAGCTTCGTACTTGCATTCAGTCATGAACATATTGGTGTGCGTCAACAATGGAAGCTACAAGTTCATCCAGAAGCAAGGCTCCTAAACCTTGAAAAACATAATGGAAATGTAAAAGAACATTTATGCAAGGCGTAGAGCCACTCTAAGGAAGAAGCCTATTCAATAATGTGGAACATTTCACTTATACTAGCAAAAGAGTTGGAAAAAGTGGAGAGAAAAAAAAAAGATGGAAGAATATATGACAGTAAACACACAGCTACTTAACCTGTTTGAGATCTTTATTGACAGGTCTTCATTTTCAAGAGTGAGGGTCTTATTTTCATATTCCAAATCTCTGAATGAATGCAACTTAGTATGAAGAAGCTGTTCCGATTGTGATAACTGACACTGAATATCAGATTCCTTAAACAGAAACAAGATGTTATCACCTTTTCATGAAACTCCTACTAGGCAACTTAATTGTGTATTACACAAACATTTATAGCCTATAGAAGACTACAGCCATTTCGTTTTTGGCTAGAGCAGAGAATGATTGCAACCTCAGCTAAGCCTGTATTGCTGTCTTGGTCCGCACAGGTGAGATACCCTTTGCTTTCCTGTACCAGTTACAATGGTCATTGATACAGTAGATCTCTCCAATGAAGACCCGTAGAGAAATAATATTTTTTTATCAGACTGGAGAGGTTAGAACTTTTGTCAGGTTCCTGTTGTTGCCTCTGCTGTCGTTTAGAAGATTGGCAATAAAAATTATAACATTACTGAGTGCAGGGCATCATGGAACAGTATCCTGAGGAGTGTAATCACAGCCCCCTGCACGTAAATACAATAATGCAGGGGCGGGGGTGATGTGAACACATTAGCACTGCGCTCTGCTTTAATGAGGTCCACCTACCGCTGGGAGAAGACCGACAAGGACCCTGCATGTTATGTGACTGTCCTTAAGCAGCATGTCACATTTTAGTATTGCGGTAATGGGCATTAGCATGTTGTAATGCTATTCATTTTGTAGGGTACCCCAAGCACCAAGGCAGGGGTCGGCAACTCCAGCCCACCAGCTGTTGCGAAACTAAAAGTCCCATGAGTCATTGCAGGCTGACAGTTACAGGCATGACTCCCAGGGGCAGAGGCATGTTGGAATTTCTAGTTAAAGCCCAGACACTAGGCCAGAGTTGCCCACCCCTGCATTAAAGCTATAGCTCTGACACACATGCATTCCAGCGCACCACATAACAGGGTAACGTATTTACGCCTAAGGCCCCGTTCACACTGAGCAATTTGTTGCGCGGTAAATCCCGCGATGTCGCGGCTATTTACCGCGAGATATCGCTCTCCAATGCATGGCAATGAGGCTCTGCCCGTCGCTGTCGCGGGTCGTGCGTCGCTACAGCAGGACCCTTTTTGGAGCAGATTTTGCCGCGATTCTAGCTTGCTCAATGCAAGCATTTGCGCGATATCACGAAAAATGCAAATCGCGCGCCAAACGCGCGATTTGCGAATCGCTCAGTGTGAATGGGGCCTTATGGTGCGCTGCATCAGAAAAAAATATATGCATGTACATTTTTTTATCAGTTCTTGTATGTTGGCGGCCCATTCAAAATTAATGAGTTGCCTTAACATAATGAACATTAACGTGTGACACAAAGAGCAACGCACGAGAATGGCAAGGTGTGAACGGGTCGCAAGAAATCTAGAAAGTATTTAAAAAAAAAAAAATACTGCACATGATTATTCTTAACTAATAAATAAACTCATAGCATTTCATTACCATCTCCTTTGCTTCCTGTGAAAGCCTGTCATATACATTTGTTAAGTGTTTAATTTTCTTTTCTTGATCATCAAGTTGATATTTTAAATCATTTACCTGAGGAAGAAAAGAAGATAGAGATTGAAGGGTACTTATGATACAACAAATATAAATGACTGAATCATTTTGTTACAGTACAAGGATCTTTGAGATCTTGGAGCCATTAATGTAAGGACTTATGTAAGGCCTGGATTCACAGTTGAGCGACATGAAATATGCACGTTTTCAGCGTGTTTTTGTATAGCGCGTTTTTGCACATTTTAAGCAAAAATAACACAAAGTTGCGCATTTTTGTGAGCGGATCTTAGCACATTCATATCAGTGAATCAAAACGAGTAAAACAAGTGTAAAAATGAAGAAAAATGCTGCAAAGGTGAGTTTTTGAGCATTTCCATTAAAGTCTAGGTGCCAATAAGCGCAGAATCTTTCAAAAAGAAGCTCATGTACTTTCTTCAAGCCACAGGCGTTTTGCTTCAATTGACAACATGCTCAGATCTAAACATGGCTATAGAAATCAATGGGTTTATTTGGTGTGCTTTTCTAGCGTTTTTTCAGGCCGAAAAAGTGCTACAAAGCACTCAGTGTGAATGAGGGCTTAAGGTGGAACACGAACACCATTACAGGACACTTTGCCTGCCAATAAGGTAAGTATTCAATGTTTGGAAGGCTCAGGTTCGGATGATTAATTATTAAAATAACAGTTTAGAGATTCATTTGAGAGACTGGTTATAAGTAAGGTTATTGTTTAGGGAAGATTATTATTAATCTTGTCATAGGTGTTATGGGTGGCTAAAAATTTAAGTGATGGTTTAGACTAAAAGTGTTATTGGGAAGGGGTAGAATATGTTTAGCAGTTCAGGTAACAGTTTAGGGTTTAAGCCTTGGAGGAAGGAATATCTTAGGGCTGATATGCACAGCAATCGCTCACAAAACTTCCCCCTTCGTTCTGGGACAGAAGGGAGTGTGGCAGTGCATCGAAGTCAATGGCACTGCAGCCACGCCCCCAACACACAAAATAGAGCATGCAGCATTTTTTGCGTTCGCAGTGGACCGGAATGCAGGCAATGTTTTCCCTATGCGTCCAATCGCACTGCGGGCGGGGGGCGTGGCTGCGGTGCCATTGACTTTGATTTAAATATAGTACTGGTTTATGATGCACAGTGCTTTTGCAAACAAACTGTAATTTAGTTAACATTTAAAAACAACTTTAAAGAGACCCCAATCATTTTAACAAAAAGCTACTCATAATGTTATATGTGTATTTAACATATTTTATGTATCTTATTTACCTGTAAAACCTTCCCTTGTGTATACATTTAAAAGCCCTGAGATTGCTGTTGACCGCCATCATCTTGGATGTGATGTCAGCAGTCCCAACAGACTCAGAGCTGTAATTCAAGTAAGACGCTATAGTATCCCCCATCACTCCTCCTATGCCTGGAAAGAGAGGGGCACAGAGAGTAATAAGACAATTCTAGATGAGGAGAGGGTTATGACGTGCAAGGAAAGAGGGGACTGTGCTAGGGATCTGACTCTCCTGAAGTAGTCAAATTGCAAGTGAATAAAAAATATTTAGGGAAAGGAAAAACACCACTTGTAAGTATTTAAAGTACTCAGTGTATCTGTGCTTTTACCTGCAATACTTTGTTGGTGACAGGGTGTACTTAAAGTAACAGTTTAGAGGTTAATTAGGAAGGGGTAGCTTGAGAGTTGATAGTTTAGGTGTGTAAGAGTTATGCGTTGGGGCATGAAGGTGGTGGGGGGCGTAAGAGGGATGCTTTTGTGTTACAAACAGTTAAATGCTAAAAAATAACATTTGTAGAATGCCAGCACCCTAAGTAACTCATTAACCCCTTAGTGACACAGCTTCAGAAAATGTTTTCGCTCCTGGGGACCGGAGCAATTTTGCCATTTTTGCTATGTGTTTGTTTAACCATAATGTCCAACTTTTTAATGCATTGCACCTACACATATTATATAGCAATTTTTTAAAGGAAAAAAATATCTTTAATATCTCCTATCTTTAAAAGCCTTCTCAGCATTATATCTTTTTTTATAATTTTTTTTCTATCTTTAAAATCCTTTTCAGCATTATATATTTGCTTATAATTTTTTTAATTAAACTTATGTTTTTTTAAATTTTTTGACTTTTTTTAACTTTAAAATTAAAAAAACGTTATTTTTAAATTTTAATTTATTTATTTTTTAATTAGAGGGCACTAAGGGGTATTTTTGTTTTATTTACAGGGGCTTTGATGTTTTATTTACAGGGGCTTTAATGTATCTCTGCGGAGATACAAAGTATCTCCGCAGAGATACTTTGTATCAGTTTGTAACACACAGCCGACTCGCAGCCCCACAACACAGTGAGCTGCTGCTGGCTATGTGGCAGTCACAGCTCTGTGATCACAGAAATTACTTATCGCTGTTATTACAGGGCTGGGACCACCTAATCTCCTGTTGCAGGTCTGCCTTGGACCCCGAAGGACCCAGCAACAGCAGTAATTCAATGAGCGCTGGTCCCTCCACGGACCAACACTTATTGTACCACATGATGGGATTATCCCATCACCGGTCATTAATTAACTGAAGGATCGCAATGAAATAATCCCGTCACCAGTCAGGAAGGGGTTATTAAATACAAGTAAATAAATAAAACTAAACTGGAAACTCTACACTAAGAACATGCATTGTGCACATAAAAACAAATAACTGATTGAACAAGTTTTAACTGTAAATTATAACTGATATAATGCAGGCTTTACATCCAGCTATACACACTCCAAAAGTGTTTTGGAAACAGTCGCTTTTCAACACATTAGAGTCCCTCACAGAAGAAATCTATACACAATGACTCCAATAGATAAATCGGGATGTAAGGTTATGGGCCCTTCATTCTGAAATAGTCAAGGTGCAGACAGTAAGAGAAAATGTTAGCACCAGGTGGGCATCAATATGAGAAAACACGTCATAAGCTGGCAAGGCAAGTAAAAGCATGTTCTCTGAAATTAATGAAATGATATCTAAACTCAAGAAGAAAAATGTAATATATTGCAGATTACTGCTCCAGAATGTAAGTGTCCTTGTAGCTTCCACTATGTTGTCAGCTTTCCATGCTATCCTCTGTAAGGCACAAGGCACTGCATGCCTGAGTAATGGCGAGAGGAGATGTTTGTAGTCCAAATCAGGGGAGCAGCCTAGGCTGACAGTTTTGCTGCTCCTTAGATACAGCGTAGTGAAAGTGTGTTGCTGGCCGGATTACCAGGTGAGAATAAAGGAAGAGAAAGCCTGAAAAATAATACGAATGCAGCCGCCACATCTAAGGACGAGTAAACTGCAATTTATTGTATTTTTGGTCTAGATACATTTTAATGGGGTTAATCTACTAAAGCAGTAAAGTATTTTCACTACGCAAAGTTAAGTGAATATTTTATTAATTCAACCCCAATAAATGACATGCAATGTTCAGTGTTAGGTGTAATGCCATAATAATTCCCATGCACATAATCCTTGTTCTATGAAGTTATAAGTATTATAAAAAAACTAGAATGTTTCTGTGTTTAGAAAGTGCAGATTTGTGTAACTCAGCTGAAAAGTTATTTTTCCTTAGTAAAGCGTTTAAAAGGTCCACTGTGAAGTGGAAATGATTGCTTACTGGACTTAATGCCTCTTGTTCTGTGCCCTAATTTAAATTAGTTCTTAGTCACAGAAGATGCTGTGGCTGCTTTTTATCCTTCACAGCCAGATGATATAAAACATAAGCCGATCAGTTGAAACTTCCATCTCCCCTTATTAAGGCACTAAACACGTCTTGGGTTAGTGAAATTGCTTTCAACCTTACACTTATCATATGTTCTTCAACATATGCATTATCTAGCAGTTTAGCCAAATACGCTAGCACAAACAAAAGCAAAGCTGCACACTGGAGCATTCATAATAGTACATTGCTATTTAACTGACCTAAGAAGCCATATTCAAACTATCAAAACGGGAACAACACAAGCATGATTCTTCTGACCTGACTTCTGTTAAATAATGTATTTCCCATTATTTGTAGAAAACATTCACAGGACACCTTAGACATGCTACAATTCCCTAACAAAAATAAAGCAACATGTTGGTATCTGTAGTAACATTATAATTTAATACCAAATTCATTGTTGACATGGCCATATAGAATAATTCTTTACAGTCAATAGCTCGATAGTATTTCATTTTGTTCTATGAAACTGAAGATTAGAACAGAAGGTGTCAGAACATACTGGTAACTTGGCAAAGGTAGCATGCAGTACTTGGACATGGTCATCCAGTGGCCGGGGTGAAGATGCAAACTGAGCGCCCCTACCCCCCATTATGCACAAGTTAGTGTCAGTGCACACCCAATCATCCGCTGTGGGATCCTAATTCTAATAGCCACTGATCTAGTCTAAGCATCACTGTGCAGCTCTAGGTCTGACAATCGGGTTTCACGTAGACCCAGAAGTGTGCCTTTATGTCATGGCACCTTCCAGCTGTGTTTTATCTGCCTCTGCCAACCTCCTTGAGCTTGTTGTGAAAAGTGCTAGACCAAGATCAGTAAGCCTGAGATTGGGGTGGGGTAATGGGTGGGGCAAGGGGAAGGACTAATAGCATCATGCAAATTGTGCATAGCAGCCAGGAATGGAGCTAACAGCGCTGTGGTTTGCTGAGCGGGAAAGGCGTGTAGGGAATTAAATTATATAATAACAGTGCTAAATTGACAATACAGAGACAAATAAAAACAACAAATTGTTAGAATAAGTGGGGGGAAAATGGGCCATCGTGACAATATGAGGGCAACGCACAGGCAATTCTGACAAAATGCATAAATTACAATAACATGGACAGTAGTGATTGGACATTAAAACAGAACACTGGAATGAATACTAGTTCACCTATAATTGCTGCAGGTAGGGAGAACAGGCTGTGCAGAGAGACAAGGGAGATCAGAGACGTCCTAAATGAGTGTAGTACCACCTACTTAGCTGTCTGTACGACCCTTCTTTTAGTTTAAATTTCTGTGAGATTTTTCTGGTTGT